TATATATATAGAAACACCATACAATTCCTTTGCCAGCCAAATGAATTGTGGCTACTACCCATTATTCACTTGTAAAAGTTAATGGGCAAAACCAGGGCTCTAGTCAGAAACAAAGAAAATTAGTTGGACAGTTTAAGTCTTTTTCCCCCTTATGCAAAAGAAGTCCCCACTGTCACGCCCTCAGTTCTAATGACCTTCGGTTAGTAAAACCTGAAAAGATGGCCTCAAATCACTTCCCGGTTCCAGTTGTTTCATGCACTAATGGTTATAGGAAATTAACAAAATAACTAGTGCTAGAGACACCCATTGACAATTTTCAGGACAGGACAGGAACCCTATTTTCACCCTTGTAATTATTTTTTCCTCTCTCAGATGGGTTGGTTCCAACTCGATGGTACACAACAACAACAACACAGCTGACCAAGGAATTTTCAGTCAATTCAAAGTTTCAATGGATTATAGTCAGGCATCAATGCTGCACATAGCTGACCCTCCAATGGGTTTTCAGAGGCTGTAAATTGTATGGGAGGAGACTGCCCAATTTTTTTTCTGGGGAGCAGTTGATGGATTTGAACCACCTGACTTTCAGTTGGTAGGCCAACTCCTTATCCATTAGGCCATCAAAGCTCCCCAATGCTGCACATCAACCTCCAAGAATCCCACTGCTGTAGTGTAACCGCTGATTCATAGCAGATGCTCCAGTGGGTTTCTAAAGCTGGAAACCTAAGAGGAGATTACCTATCTTTCTCTCTTGGAGCCACTGGTGTCTCTGAACCACTAAAGAAGTGTGGTCTTTAGATTAGCAGCTCAACTCCCAGAGCTCCCTACTCACACTTCATGCATTTTTCTTCCAATTTTTGAGACTATCTGTAGGACATCTCAAATCTCAGCTTTCTGTAAAATTCCCCATTGGTGGTGGTGGTATGTGCTGTCGAGTCAGAAGAGACTCATAACTAACCCTCGAGCAGATTTTCAGAGGCTGTAAATCATACAAGAACAGACTGCTCATCTTTCTCCTGTGAAGCAATTGGTGCATCTGAACTTCATGACTGTGGGTTGCCAGCACAGCTTCTTACCCACTAGGCCACCCGAGAAAGTCCCCTATGTTCTCAAAACTAGTGTTCACCTAGAAATAAACCTGGTCTACACTCTATTTTTTTAAATTTCTTTTTTTATTATTATT